GTCCCAAGTGGCCTCCCTGGAGGTGTTGACAGGATGCTGCTCTGCCTTGCACCCTCAAACAATGTGTTTTCAGTTGTGTGAGTTTTAACTTCTCCATCTTGGAACATGGTTTCCATTCTGCTGAGGTGCTCTGGGGGCTTCTGGCACTGGGGACACTGTCAAAAAATAATTTTAGAGAGCGAAAACAAACTAGCTCCAACTGGTAATTAAACCCTTCTCCAAGAGGTGCGACTTCAGGGCAGCAAGAAGCAGTGGAGGGGGTGAGACTCTGAAGATATCTGCTGGAAACACACAGGAATAGTGCAAGTACTGGCTCCCGCCAGATGCGCAGAGTGCCTCCTATGTGTCTCGTGTGCACTTCACCCTCATACCTCCTGCCTATTTGGCAGCTCCCCTAGGGTGGGGGTGGGGGCTCCCTGACACCTCAGACCCAACACACCCCAGACAGAAGGCTGGTCTCCCTCACCATGTGCCCGCTTGTTTTAGCTTCTTCAAACCAAACCAAACCCACTGCCATCGAGTCAGATCCGATTCATAGCGACCCCTCCTTGGGTTTCCGAGGTGGTATCACTACGGAAGTAGATCGCCCAACCTTCCTTCTGAGGAGTGGCTGGTGGCTTTGAACTGCCAGCCTTCTGGTTAGCAGTCAAGTGCCTTAGGTGCTACGCTGCCAGAGCTCCCCTTAGCATCTTAGTGCTGCTGACAATAGAAATACCCCAAGTGGACGGCTTGAAAGGTCAGAAAGTTGTTTCCTCACAGTTTAGGAGGCTAGAAGTCTGAATTCAGGATGCCGGCTCTAGGGGAAGGTTTTCTCTCACCTCCAGGGTGGGTTCTCGTCTCTGTTTCTCTAGGCTGGTGTCCCTCCATTCCCTGCCTATCTCTGTGTGGCACCTGTCCCCAGGTGTGCTTGGTTAATTCTGTGCCTAATCAACTCTTTTTCTGTCTCAATAGTGATGAGGTTTACAGGTTTGCTGGTCTGATAGAATAGAGCCTGGTGGAACCACTGAGACTATGGCCCCTAGCCGCCCTCAGGTCTGGAATTGAACCCACACCTGTGGCTTCCAGCCAAGCAAAAGACAGGCATATGACTTGAACATTTACCTGAGGTAGATACACTCCTTGGAGAGAACAATCATGGGAGAAAGAAGGGCTGCTTATGCCCTTGCGCTTATGCACAAGGAGACAGCTCAGGGGTCAGGAGTATATGGAGGGATGGACACAGGGAAGATGTGACTGTCGGGAGGAAGTAGGAGGGGAGCTGTTGCATTGGGGTAAATTGCGGTCAATGTCATGAGACAAAGTGTGTGTGAATTGCTGTATGGAAAGTGAATTTGCTCTGTAAACTTTCACCCAAATCACAATTAAAAAAAAAAAAGGGATGAGGTTTAGGGCATATCCCACACTGATACGGCCTCATTAACATAACAGAGAGACCCTGTTTCCAAATGGGATCACAGGCACAGGGCCAGGGGTTGGCAATCCAAGCTATGTGTTTGGGGTACATCATTCAGTCCATGAGGAGCTCCTGTGGTGCAGTGGTTAAAGCACTCATCTGCTAAACTAAAAGGTCAGTGGTTTGAACCCACCAGCTGCACCACAGGAGAAAGATAAGGCAGTCTGCTTGCATAAAGATTTACACCCTTGGAAATCCTAGGGGCCAATTCTACTCTGTCCTATAGGGTCGCTATGAGTCGGAACTAACTCAATGGCAGTGGATTTTTGGTAATTCAGTCCATGGCACTGCTCCTCCCTGAAATGGCACCACATTGTGGTCAGGTCAACCTAGGTGTCACCCTTGACTTCTTCCCTCATCCTCTGTCAGTAAGCCATCAGCAAGTCCTTTACCTCTGTCCTGACTCCCACACTTTCTTGTCACCTGGATCCACCCCATCATTTTTCTCTTGCTTGAACAGTACAGTAGCCTCTTCTTCGTTCTCTCTGCCTCTACCTGTCCCCTCCTACTGTCTACTCTCCAGGTGACAGCCAGAAAGGTCTTTTAGAAACAGAACCACATCATGTGGCTTTTCCTGTCGAACACTCCTACGTCCCATGTAGATCCATGCAATAGAATCAACTCTGACCTGGAGACCCGCCTGGCCCATGCCTCCCACTCCTGACTCAAGTCTCCTGCCCACCCTGCTCTTTCATTCAGTCACTCCAGCCACCTCGCCTCCCTTCTGACCCTCCATTGCATCACACTTGTTCTCACTGCAGGGCCTCTGCTCGTGGTGATGCCTCCTCCCCAGATCTCCATCTGGCTGGCGCCTCGTCATTGTCATTCAGGCCTCAATTCAAATGTCCCCTCCTCCAGAGCCTTCTCTGATCACCCTGGAGAATGCTGTGTCCTCCTTCCCCCTCCGCCCCAACACGTGAGCTCCTTCTGTTTCTTGTCTTCACATCTCTCCTGCTAGCACAAACTCTTGTTCATTGATTTGCCTGTTTGTTGAGTGTCTGGACCCTGGGATTCAGGATGAATCACACAGACTCGCTCCCTGCTATCACGGAACTGACATGCTACTGGGGAGACAGCAAAATCAAAATCTACCTGGGGCTTTTCAACTATAAGAGCCAATACTTTCATTTTTTACAAAGGAACTTTGAGTTGGGTTTTGATCTGCAACGAACAGAGTCCTCACTACTACATTAAACAAACAAACAAACTAGTTGCTGTCGATTCCATTCTGACTCACGGTGACCCCGTGTGTGTCCAAGTAGAACTGTGCTCCATGGCATTTTCATTAGCTGACTTTTGGAAACAGATTGCCAGGCCTTTCTTCCAAGGAGCCTCTGGGTGGACTTGAAACACCAACCTTTCAGTGGGCAGCCGAGCCTGTTAACCCTCTGCACCACTGAGGGCCTCCTGACTAGTACATTAGACTCTATAATTCAATAGCTATGCCTTTAACAAAAACAAACTCATGAGCTCTCTCTCTTTTTTGCAAGCCATTGAAGGTCATTGAAAAGAGCATCAGTGGACTACTTTTTGCTCAAGAGACAAACAGACATTGGCTTTAATGCCAGGGGTATTCCCCACCACTCTAGAGCTTTCTTCCACCTGCAACAAGTCTCTACCTAGATCTTCTCTCTCAAACAGATAGTAAGCAGGCAATATCAATTACACTTCATAGGTGGCTTGCCTAGACTGGACAGAACACATGGTTGATCCTTTCAGCAAGGATTTCCCTCAGTGGAACTCAAGGCTTGTAGATCAGAAAGAAAAACTTACATCCTTTTCTGATGGTACATATGATAATGACTTGGACTAGCCCGGGCAGATTCAGAATTCATAGTATTTATATTTCTACCTCACAGTCTAGTCCTGAAGAGCCCTGGTGGCGTAGTGCCTAAGGCATTTGACTGCTAACCAGAAGACTGGCGGTTCAAACCCACCAGCCACTCTTCGGAAGGAAGGTTGGGCGATCTACTTCCGTAGTGATACTGCCTCGGAAACCTAAGAAGGTGTCACTATGAGTTGGATCCGACTCAATGGCAGTGAGGTTGGTTTTTAGTTTGGAGCCTAGCCCTTGGAAATTTTCTAGATTTTAGAGAAAAAACAAACAAACAAACAAACAAACAAACACCTCCCTGCTAGTTGACATGGGACTGTGCTTTCACATTCAGTTCTACTTAGGTTGCCTTTGTTTTTTGATCTGCTACCAATCCAGCGAGGGGAATATAATTCGCAACACCAGAAGGTCCCTCCACTCCCTGCCCGAAAACCCTCTTGTTGTTGTTGTTATGTGCCGTCGAGTCAAACCCAACTCATAGCAACCCCTCCTTGGGTTTCCGAGGCAGTATCACTACAGAAGTAGGATTGCCCAACCTTCCTTCCAAGGAGTGGCTGGTGGGTTTGAACCGCCAGCCATCTGGTTAGGAGGCAAGTGTCTTAGCCACTATGCTACCAGAGCTCCTCCTCTGAAACCCTCTTATTAGCCAGGAACTCTTTTCCACCCTGGAGAAAGCTGCTCGCTCTTTTGTTAGCAGCGTCTCATCCTATCTCCCTCCTGGCTTTGGCCACCGGGAGTCCCTGGGTGGTGCAAATGATGAATGAGCTAAGCGACCCCAAAGCTGTAGGTTCCAGTCCACTCAGAAGAGCTTAAGAAGAAAGGCCTGGGGGTCTGTTTAAAAAAAAAAAAAAAAGCTATTACAAATCCTACGGGCAGAGTCCTCTCTAACACACGGGGTTGCCATGAGTTGGAATCGACTGGATGTCAGCTGGCTTTCACCTGCTTTTGGTTACCAGGAAGCTCAGAGCTGGACTGTAAACTTGACTGCAGTAGTTAGTGTGAAACCCTATGGATCGCCATAGACTGACGTGTGCACAGAATTGCCTCTTGTTTTAGTACAACTCTTTATTCATTACCCAGTATTTTATTCATTTGCCTTTGCAAAGTGTATCTGTGTTTTCCATTCGAAATCTCCCCCAAATCTTTCCAACAGAGGCTGGGGATAAACAAATGAATTAAATTTCCGAAGCTGTTCTCCTTCTTTTTCCTACTTCCCTTGCAGCTTGCTTAGGGGCACAGGTGCTGATACTTTAAACAAGCAGAGTCCCTCTGCTCAGCTTTCCTTCTCCCTCTTTGTAAAACATGCTTTCAGGGGAATGTAAATTGTTTTTAAAAGCTTCCATCCTGGTCCACTGCTAATTATTCCTGACCCAGGAGGATCCGCACTAATTTACCTTAATAAACTTATTAAATAGCAAATTTTAGGAGGAAGGAACTACACAACCCTTATTGGATTAGTCAGACCGCCAGTGGACATCCCCACGAAAGCAGAGAGAAAAGCCCATTAGCTGCACGAGGAAGCCAGGGAGATAATCCCACTAAGAGTGTTTCCAATAAGTCTTCACTGGACACAGTTTTGGACCTTCTCGGGGGTTGTCAGCAAAAGAAGTTTCAAGCTATCACAAGAAGAAGAAAAGGTGGTGTCTTTTCCCCCAGAACCAGTTGCAAGGGATTAAACACTGAAACTATTACGTGAAATGAGCAATTCCAAACCTCCAGGTCGTTAAAGAACAGATGGGTGTCTGCAAGGTTGAAGATCATCTCCTCCATCATCAGGCCGATGCGCACGGACGTCGTGGTGTCCTGTAGAAAGAAAAGGGGACAACACGCTCAAGCAGGGGCTTCCGCATCTCAGCCTGCCTCGTCTCCCGCCTCACCTCTCAGAGACAATTGTCTTTTCTGCAAGGCTCAGATGTGGCCTAAGCTCCGTCTCTGTGTGGGAGCCGGGTGATAACGCTGTACAGCTTCCATGATGCCACTCTTAGTTTTCCACCTTTTATCTTTACCCTCTTTGGTCTTTGAATCTGCCCTAAAATGCCCCCCTGGAATTCCAAATCTGTTCAATGTTGCAATGACTGGGAATGGCTGCAATAAAGGAAGGCCTTTTGGAAAATGTGTGTTTCCAGGGGTTTCCTCCAAGCCTTTTTGATTTCAGGGAGGACTGGCAGATTTCAAGGAAAGTAGTACAAACTGTATAAACTGTTGGGAGACCTGACATGTTGGCTTTCTCTTTACAGTGATCTCTTTCTCTATCATGCTGCCATGTTGTTGTTCACTTCCCTGGAACGGTCATGGCAATTCTGTGCACACATCAGTCTATGGCGATCCATAGGGTTTTCACTGGCTGATGTTTTGGAAGTAAATTGCCAGGCCTTTCTTCCTGGTCTTTCTTAGTTTGTAAGCTCTGCTGAAACCTGTTCCACATCATAGCAACACGCAGGTCACCACTGACAGATGGATCTGCATAGGTGCACTGGCCAGAAACTGAGCCTGGACGACCCACATTCAAGGCAAGAATTCTCCCACTGAACCAGCAATGCTCCTCACATGCTAATTTACTCCTGATATTTAAAAAACCGCTGTTATCTAACAATAGAGGACTAGTTTGAACTGATTCAGTCATGGCTGCTGCAGCAAAATCAGAACAGACCTGAATTTTCAAAATGTAACTGTACTGGAACGCTAGTCAGAATGGGAAAAATTATGGCTCGAAGCTCTGGCATCGGAGACTTGGAAGAGGTGTAGTGGGTCCCTTCAGGAGCCTGATGTGGGAGACTGGATAATTGCCAGGGCTGTGGAAAATGACACACATTCAAAGCAATGTGATTGGCTGCTATCTTTGAGCTGCGCGCTGTTGTTTTCAATTCTGCCTGTCAAGACATTTGGTTGTCATGCAACACACATGCTGCCCTTGTTTTCTAGGAGGGAGATGAAGTTTCTAGCAGGGCATTGACCTGTAATTTTTCCCACGCTGGTTACTGTTCCAGTACAACTGCATTTTACAAATTTGGGTCCATTCCGGTTTCACTTCATCGACCATGACAGAACTGGGAAGAAATGGTTTGAATCCGTGCTACAAACACACAAACAAAAACCCTGTCTGGTATATTCATCCCGTGGAAAGCCAGGCAGCCATTGCAAAACTGCAGTTATGCTAGAGCTATTGATATGAAATTATTGTCAAGAAATAGAGTATTAAGTAACAAAAGCAAGTTACATCACAGTATGTGTTAAACACAACTACATAATGAAAAGGATCTATGAACATACACACACCTGTACCTACTGTATTTTTATGCAAATAGCATGCATATTATACTTTTTGCCAACTGTGCCCTCCTTGTAAGTATTTTTATAGCACACTATGCTAATTTTTTACATGCTTCTGTAAAAACATTAGCACAGTATGGTTATGAAAATACCTCAGTGTGGGGAGGGTGTAGTTGGCAAAAAGTAGTGTAACAGATGGGTTATTTGCATAAAAATATGATATACCTGTAGTGTGGTAGACTACATTGTTGTTCATCCATACTTGGGGTCCCTTCTTTAGATCTAACCCCTGGAAGAGCATGATACAAACCGGGGGGCAGCAAACTATAGCCCTTGGGCCAATATAGCCTGTTTCTGGCTTTGTATAACTTGTGAGCTAAGAATGGGTTTTATGTTTTCAAATGGTGTATGAAGTCAGAGGTGAGCAGTTGTGACAGAGACCCTACGTCTTGCAAAACCTGAAATATCTACAAGCTGGTCATTTATGGAAAAAGTTTGCCCCTAACATTTTGGGGATGTTTGTTACTGCGGCATAACCCTACCTGCATCAACTGACATATGCGCAACATTTCTCAAGCAGAAAGAACTAAAGAAAAAAATTCAACCCTCAATTTACAATATTAAAAGATTCTATGGGCAAGATATCGAATGATGCAGCAAGGATTAAGGAAGATGGAAGGAGTACATGGAGTCATTGTACCAAAAAGAATTGGTTGACATTCAACCATTTCAGGAGGTTAGCATATGATCAAGAACTGATGGTATCAAAGAAGTCCAAGCTGCACTGAAGGTGTCAGTGAAAAACAAAGCTCCAGGAATTGATAAAGTACCAACTGAGATGTTTCAACAAACAGATGCAATGCTGGAAGCACTCATTCACCTATGCCAAGAGATTTGGAAGACAGATACCCAGCCAATAGATCGAAAGAGATCCATATTTGTGCTCATTCCAAAGAAAAATGATCCAAAAAAATGTGGAAATTATCAAAGAATATCATTACTATCACAGACAAGTAAAGTGTTGTTGAAGATAATTTAAAAAAAAAAAAAACTGCAGCAATATATTGACAGAGAACTGTCAGAAATGCAAGCTGTATTCAGAAGAGGATGTAGAAAAAAGGATATCACTGTTGATGTCAGATGGATGTTGGCTGAAATTAGAAGACTGCAGAAAGATATTTACCTGCATTTTATTGACTATTCAAAGACATTTGACTGTGTGGATCATAAAAAATGATGGATAACACTGAAGAATGGGAATTTCAGGATATTTAATTGTATTTATCTGGAACCTGTAAATAGACCAAGAGGCAGTCGTTCGAACAAAGCAAGGGAATACTGTGTGGTTTAAAAATCAGGAAAAGTGTCTGTCAGGGTTGTATCCTTTCACCATACTTATCCAATCTGTATGCTGAGCAAATAATCTGAGAAGGTGGACCATATGAAGAGGAACATGGCATCAGGACTGGAGGAAGACTCATTAACAACCTGCAATATGCAGATGACACAACCTTGCTTGCTGAAAGTAGGACTTGAAACAGGACTTGAAGAGGACTTGAAACACTTACTGATGATGATTAAAGACTATAGTCTGCAATATGGATTACACCTCAACATAAAGGAAACAAAAATCCTCACAACTGGAGCAATAAGCAAACATCATGATAAATGGAGAAAAGACTGAAGTTGTCAAGGATTTCTTTTTTCCTGGATCCATAATCAATGGAAACAGCAGTCAAGAAATCAAATGACATATTGTATTGGGCAAATCTGTTGCAAAAGACCTTTAGAAAGTGTTAAAAAGCAAAGATGTCACTTTGAGGACTAAGGTGCATTTGACCTGACTAAAGTCATGGTACTTTCAATTGCCTCATATGCATGTAAAAGTTGGGCAATGAATAAGGAAGACCAAGTAAGAATAGATGCCTTTGAATTAGGGTGATGATGAAGAATACAGCACCTACCATGGCCTGCCAGAAGAACAAACAAATCTGTCTTGGAAGAAGTGCAGCCAGAACACTCCTTAGAAGCTAGGCTGGTGAGACTTTGTCTCATCTATTTTGGACATGTTATCAGGAAGGTCCAGTCCCTGGAGAAGGACATCATGCTTGGTAAAGTAGTTGTTGTGTTGTTGTTATGCGTCGTCGAGTCAGCCCTGACTCATAGCGACCCCTCCTTGGGTTTCCAACGTGGTATCACTATGGAAGTAGATTGCCCAACCTTCCTTCT